AGCCTTGAAATAGTTGGGTCACAATAATTTTTAAATATCAGATTTAGGTAATTTTATCTAAATCCGTCATTGTTTTTTTGCAAAATGATGTTAACATTTTTTTCTCATGAAACCAGTAAAAATGTCATTTCGAGAAAGCGTCCCAACACGCATTTCCATATTTGGAATGTTCATGAAACAATAAAATACTAATTTAAAAAATAAAATGTTCGAACATGTTTGATACACTTGTATCATAGTAGCATATTCACAATTATAAATAAAAGAAAATATAAGTAACTTCACATTTATCTCACGTATAACTTTGTCCGGTAGTTTGTAGGTCATTTCGTGAACGCACTCTATTCTGTCAAAAAAGTGGTGTCCAATTATGTCAAGCGAGGTGCTACTGTGAAGTCGCACGATTAATTCTCTTGAGTGTACACAGTGTTTGGTTGTTTCATGGCGGTTTTTAATTAAATTCCTTTGTAAGATTATTTCAGTTATGTATTTTGGTACCGTACATCAAGAGAACATCATAACGGGAACGCCTCAAAATCATTAACATTACGATAAGTGAAAATAATTAGTCTTGATTACATTAAATAATGCTGTTCTATTTCCGTCAATGTTGTATATTGGTGCCCAAGATGGCCGATGACCATTTAAAATAATACGGATAGTTAAAAAATCATTTCGGGAGCGGTCATTTCGAGAACGTTGCCGAATATGACGTGCGTTCCCGTAATGATGTTTTTCTTAGAATTTTACCTTTAAATACTTTTATTTAGTGCATTTACGTTAATTAAATGATTAAATTCATTTTATTAATTGTAGTAGTGATTGGAATGGCTAAGTTTAATGCTCTAGCTTTTTAAAACGTAATCTAAACTGAATTTTCAAAAGATGAAGTTTCTTCCTGCTTTTTTCTATCTGAGACAAAGTTTTTTGTTTAAGTAGTAGTATAGTGAATAATATAATAATATCAAATGGAAAATGATCCTATTAGAACACACCTACTACTGAAAGAACAAAATTTTGATATATAGATAGAACCAATTAAATACATGACACCTCAAGATTTAAAGCAAATAGAAAATTTTAAAGCTAGAAAAAGCAGATATCATCATCTACTTCTGAAGATGAAGATCTTATGACAGTGCGTCGTAAAAAAGAACAAGAACGAGATATGGTGCGTCCAAACCTAATCGTTGATAAATAAACAGAACTTTCGTCTAGAAATTTTTAAGGTTGTGCTTCATATGTTACATTTTATTAAAATAGGAATACATAAGACAATGTAGAGTACAGATTTAAATACATTTTATTTAATATTTATTTTAGTACCGTATTTCCAAACTAAGCCTTATCAAATTTATATTTTTAACAAAAAATATTCAATTTCAAAAATACGTTCCCTGGATGATGTTTGAATCCTAGATAAATAATTAAAATGTGAATATTTTGCGCGCCCCTTTCACAGTGCAATTTATTATTGGTAGTAACGTGTTCACTGTAAGTTACTTTTTGGATTTCTATGACGTGATAATTTTTACAAAATTTCACATTTCCAAATTCGTCACCTTGGTGATTTTGACCAATACGTTTTTATATGAAAAATACCAAAAATAAAGATATACTTACAGTCTGAGGCACACTGGTTGAACTTATCCCTACATCTTTGACCAATCTGGAAGACAGTTCGGTTTTTTATCAGCATCTAACAATTTCAAATATGTCCGCAAATCTGTGACGCAACAAGGCTTATGGCCAAATTTCCTAAAATATTCTATAAATAATTCCGTTGTGTCTCCAAGCAATCAGTACTATTGAGATTTTGCTTCGTGTAATTTTGAACCCAACTCAAACCGTGCTAGGTAGGGACCTCTGAGCAAATAACCTAAAAATCATTTTATTGAAAACATGTAAAAATCAGTGTTACCAAAATAACCATATTTAGAACACACATCAAATTTTGCTACTAAAAAGGTTCAGACTACAAACAAAAATACCGTTTTCTACACCATCCTCCACTATTCTACAAATAAATTCATGAGCTTTTTGGAGAGTCGTCAACCCGATTCCAATTCAGATTACGTGCACAGCATATTCTTCGTTGTTGTTCAATTTTTACCACTAAGAATTATTCCAAAAACTGAATTTATGTAGTCCTTCCAAATATCCCATCGGTCTACCCTAAAATTAAAATACAGATAGTGAGTGAATGACTTTTAAAACTTGAAATATTAAAAAGGACGTTTATTCAGTAAAAGCAAAACTTTTTCTAGTACAGATAACCCCATCCGAGAATAAGCTGTATTTATGGTAATAAACTTTATCGATAAACTATATATTACATAAAAATGCATGAAGAAAAATCACCATGTTTTTTTAAGAACAAGTAATCGAGTAAATATTTGAAGATTTAACTTACTGCTCTATTAAAACTGCTTTACACAGCAAATTAATATAATTCCACCACTTTAGCTTCTTTAAGTACTTCAATCAGATTCTGCGGAACATTACTACACTGAAGCTTAACGCTAAGAGGTCCATCCAAAACTTTTAAAATATCCTCATATTTTTCTAATAACTCCAGAATCATTATATACAGCTGCACTTCTTGTTCCGCATCGACTTTATTTTCAGTTATCAATTTGTAAAACATCCTTTCGGCAAGACATAATAGCAATTTACGTTTCGTAGGATCCTTGGCTCCCTCCCCTCTGGTCGCTTGTAATATTATACTCATGATGGCCCAGCAATAATAAGGATTTTTTGGTTTGGCTTTGTATAGAGTCATCGCACTCTGTTGTTGGGATTTAAAATCTGATATTCGTACATAGGACATAAATAGATGGGTATGAAGTTCTTCATTACGTCGGATCAGCTTTACAGCATTTTCATACAGTTTACATATTTTTTCCACTAAAAATGCAAATAAATGGATCAATAAATAATCGCAGTATGGACAATATGAATAACTTTTATACATATACTTCAATATGATGCAAAAGTCGGACATTGCTTATGATTTATTTACAAAAACAAGTGTATATCCCGAGAATATGAATTTGTTTTGACTGTGTTCCTATTAAATCTATTTTATAAAACGGGTTCATTAAAAAGTGGAATTAAATGGAATATGCAATACTAGACAACCAGATTTTTTGTAAATAGAAGCGACAGCCTACACTTGACCAAAACCAATACTTTTCTACCGCTGTGCTGATAGGATTAGATTTTTTTTAATTACAGCAGTTAGTAGGCCCTTCATGCCAAAGAGCAACTCATGCACTGAACAGTCCTGTGCCCCTTTTTATGTTAACTATAAATCTAGTAAAATGTCATATTTACTTACAATCTTGCATCTCTCTGTAACATAACATCATAGCCTGTAACGTAGCATCATCTGTTGGTTGTTCTTTAGTTAAAGTCTCTAGAAGCTCTCTACTTTCATTTTCTTTTCCCATCCTATGAAGCGTTAAAGCCTTAAGAGCTTTGGCACAAAGCAAATTCGATGTTTTTCGTAATACCTTTTCACATTCTTGCAACGCTTTTTTATTATTACCAGAGTCTAGCCAATCTGTAATAAAATTATTAAAGTAAATTAAACAGGTAATAAGGCAGGTAATTAACAAAGAGAAGTAAAAATTAAACAAAATATATAGTGTACATAACCTATAAAACAGTTAATGAACAGTGTATATTGTATCTAAATTTTCTTAGCAGAAATTGATGTGTAATAAAAGAAAGGGTTAAAACTTACCGTATATTGGTCTAAGTCTCCTTTCAACCACCGAGTTATCCTGGTGCACGTGTGAAGATGTAGCTCTAGACATTTTCAGAATTTAAAACTATTTAAGGTTAGATTGCATTCAATGTTTTTATTTCAGTGTTTGGTAAACTTTTAGAACTAGGTTAAAAGCAAAATTAATTGTTTTTTTTTAATTTTTGGTTACTATTACTACTGCTTAATGTGTAAAGAGGTAAAACAGTAAAACCTTATACCAAATATTCTCAATAAAAAAACACGGAACGAGTCGCCGCAGAAAAACAAACCCGCAAGGTTTACCCCGCCCCCCCCCCCCCCCCCCCCCCCCCCCCCCCCCCCCCCCCCCCCCCCCCCCCCCCCCCCCCCCCCCCCCCCCCCCCCCCCCCCCCCCAACACCCCCCCCCCCCTCTTCTTCCCCCCCCCCCCCCCCCCCCCCCCCCCCCCTCCCCTCGGTTTTCTCCCCCTCCCCCCCCCCCCCGCCCCCTCCCTCCCCGCCCCCCCCCCCCCCCCCCCCCCCCCCCCCCCCCCCCCCCCCCCCCCCCCCCCCCCCCCCCCCCCCCCCCCCCCCCCGCGCCCCCCCCCCCCCCCCCCCCCCCCCCCCCCCCCCCCCCCCCCCCCCCCCCCCCCCCCCCCCCCCCCCCCCCCCCCCCCCCCCCCCCCCCCCCCCCCCCCCCCCCCCCCCCTCCCCCTCCCCCCCCCCCCCCCTTTTTTACCCTCGGTTTACCGCACGATTACCGCCATGATTATTGATAAAAAAAGAGGGAGACGGAGAATTAAAAAAATGCTAAAAAAAACAGTGGAAAAAGCAGATAGTACACCCTAAATTCTAATAAATTCAATACGTAGTTGTTAGATGGCGCCACGCACTATGGATCAGTGTTCTCACTCGGAGATCTCTTATTATTTAAGAAATTCGTGTTTTCATTATACCTACATGAGGAATACCACATTTCATAAAGAAAATTATTGTATATCATAGTACATTTCTCATATACGTGTAAGCGGTAGGTAGTTAAGTACATACACATTGGGAAAGTACACATGGGCCGATTCTGGTGGAGGCGCCGGACAAGATATATTTCATAATTAATTATTAAATCATTTACACATTTTTTTCTGTGGAGCTACAAAGCATTGGCAAGTCAGAATAATGCTTGATGGAACCATGGAAAGATGTCTAAATGGATTTGAAATTAATTATGAAACATCCTGTCCGGCGCCTCCACAGATTCGGCCCATGTGTATTTTCCCAAACCCGGGATCAAACAAGAGACCTTTAGATCTTCGGTCTAACATTCTCCCAACTAAGCTATTTCGGCGATGTTATTATTGTTGTAAGAGCTCATCCCAGCTAGCACGCTGTCGTCATAATCACGTCAATATTTGGTGATCACTAGTCGAAAGACGTCAGTAGACCAAAAATCGACGTGATAATGACGACGATAAATTGACGTGAATTTAAAATCTTAACACGTCATGTTGCCGACTTTTTTAGTGATAAACTCGCATATAAAAATAGATGTGTTTGTAAATAAATATAAAATATATATTTGGATAGATATCATTATTTTAAGCGACAGGTCATTTTTAATAAACGAATAATGTTGAGTTTTAACAACCTGCTAAAAAAGAGCTTTCACAGAATTAACGGTAAAACATTGACAATCTATTATACTTAACTAATCCACAAAGATAACGTGTCATAAATTAATTTTAAAATAATTATGTTTTTTATAACATTTAAACACATTTTTGAAAGATCCACGTTTATTTATAAAAAATCAAACATTGGCGGAATGATCTCCTTACTCATCATCATTCATCACGCAATTGGTGGACAAAAAAATCACGCTCATGCGCGTGCAGTCCATCTTCACATACCTGTTTTGATTTTTCGACCATTTTATCGTGTGTTGTGTTGTAATACCATCATAAGTCACCCATAAGTGGTACGCGGTCGAAGCCAAGTGGAATATTTTATTGTGGTGGTGAGTACCTACTACACAGTACCTAGCCAGCTGGAACGCTGCCGTCATAATCACGTCAATATTTGATAATACAGTGACGAAAAGTGACGTGAAATTTTCGGCATATGAAACGCTAGTTTTCGTCACTATATGACCAAATATCGACGTGATTATAACGACAGTGTGACAGAATGGACCCTTCGCCACTGACGTTCCAACTATATCTAGGACGCGCAGGAGAGGACTGGCTAGGGGTCCCTGAGTTAATCCGGTCTCCTAAACCTTAATAGCCCCCTCTCGATCTCAGCCAATGGTGTCTCTACGGCCTCCGACAAACATGATAACCCCTTTTTTGTTTAGGTGAAAGAGATAGCCTTTTTTAGATATTCATTCTTGGCTTTTGCATATAACACCCCTGAAATGATATTGCCCTGAGTCGCATTTCTTTTATTTTAATGGTAGTCATATATATCGCGTGTAGTCTACGGACAGCTTAAACTTCGTTAATGAGGCTAGTGCACAGAGAGTCCCACGAAATGTAGGCTACCCAAGCAGAGAGGTGGTTATGAATTTCAATGAACTGTGAACGACTTCTTAGTTGGGTATCGTAAAAGGAAAACGATATTGTGTAGGACTTGGACAATAAAATTAGACGTTTCGAAACATTAGAAAAGATTTTTTTAACATCGCGTCAAGTGCTTTTTTAAATTATTTCATTATTAGCATACGCTCTTTTTAAAAAATATATTAAATGGAAATTTAATATTAAATTATGTGCTAAGAAGTGACGAAAAAATAAATAATAGTGTCGACAGCTTACCTGCTTGGATATTTCTGAATATAAGGTAAAGAATATTTTCACAATTTGACTAATAATTGATCTTGGCAATAAACTATAAAATAAAATAAACATTTAGCAATTTTAGCACAGATAGGGTGAAATTTTTAAACTGCTTTTTGAATATTGAAGCTATCCAAGATAATTTGTAAATATTAACCATGCACCTAGGAAATTTTGTGAACTTTAAATTATGATGCTTACACATATACGTTGATAATATAGTAGGTATGTATCGGAGTATGTATAATAAAATATACAATATAAATTATTTTGTAAAAAATATTTTTAAGCTTTCCATAAACATACCTGATACATAACTTGTTTCCACCGTTGACCTGCGTATTTAGAGATAAGAATCTTATGAATCACTAGAACTGAACAAATAATGTTTTCGTTTTCTTTTATTTATACTGCTTTAGGGCCAAGTGGAATATGGCAAAAATAAAAAATTCCTAAATTCTTTTCTAAACAGAAACAAAATCTGGACTGCTAAATGAAAAATCAGAGGAAAAAAACTATATAATTGTTTTAAATTTAGGTGTTAGGTACCTCGGGTTTTAATTTGTTTTAAAATGTAGGTATAGGTGAATAAATTGACAAAAGTTTTCAACGTTGAATTTCCTGATTAAAATTTAAATAATTTTCTCTAATTTTATGTAAAAACATAAACAAACCGAACATCTAATTCAGTCATCTAAAGATACTCACTAGCAAAAATGTTAAACTAAATACCATACAATTAATTTAATAAAAATAAGGTAAGTAAATATTTATATATAAAAATATACAGGGTGTCTGCGAAAGTTAGGGAAATTGTAAAAATCTCAAAGCTGGAAGGGCGAATGCCTTATGTGTTGTTAGTTTCGGAGATACAGGGCGTTCAATGTTAGAATTTTATTCTGAAATTTAAAAAACATTTTTTAAGTTTAAATAGTATAAACATGAAATTTGTTATTGCCAGTTTAATTTAAGGATCAAAAGCGACAGTGTTCCGATCGTTCATACCTAGCCAAGGCGGGTTCAAAGCCTACCAACGGCAAAACAATTTTTTATTAAAAATTGTCCTGTATAAGTAGTTCGGATTCGACTATAAACTGTAGGTCCCCGTCTCCTTTGCTCACACAGGTTTCGGCCTCAGGGAGTTACACTAGTAACTTGGAAGGCGGTAATATACACAAAATGAAATCTGAATGCATTGAAACCTTCTTACCTATACTGAAAATTAAATTGGATATACTCTGGTGTTGTATACAGTTCCATTCTTGCGATAATGGATCATCCATTTTTTGTAAAGTCATTGGAGGCGAGAACCTAATTCATCCCATAGATCCTCAATGGGATTCATATGTGGGCTTTGAGTTTTGATTCAAGTTTTTTCAAAATAGGCAAAAATATACGATTCCAGTAAATATGGTGTAATTTCATCAATTTTTAAGATAAAACGATGAACAAAAAAACAAAATGTTCGTGAGGAATTACTGGTATAATACACAGGGTGTATAAAAAGTGATGACCTTTTATTCAGATATAATAATGAGTTCATTTCGGGGCCTAGTAGAGGTCCTTGATCCCGGCCAAAAAAAAAAGAGTCGGCAAATTACGTTGTTTTATAATACAGTGTGTGCCCTTTGAAATGGAATCACCCTGTTATTTTGGAAAGGCATGGACGATTTTCAATTTTGTTTTTAATTCAGTATACTACAAAAAAAGCTTTCTCTAACGGTGTAAAGAAAGTGAAAATTAGTCACACGCAAAGGCCAATTCCGATTGGTCGCTATGTGTAAAAAGTCGAATTTGACTATTAGGCTTTTGTTTTTTTCTTAAATTGAGTAGCAATTTCGCTTACAAACGGTATCAAATGCCCCTATGCAAAATTTCACCAATAGAATATGTACAGGGTGTTCAGCACGAAAAAAAGAATTTAAGAAATTGTATTCTTTAATTGACTCTGTATATCATTTTTCTAACGGGAAGGCAGCTATGTTGAAGACAGTCGCATTTAAATACATTTTTGTGATATTTTTTTGCTGTTACATTCCTTGTTTTTTATTTAATTTTTTTAAAAATTTTTGTAAATATTAAAACTTTTCCATTAAATTTTATTTATTTGTTTATTGTCTTCTTTGATGACTTAAGTAAGTAAATAGTAAAAGTAACATATTTTTTTCTAATGGAACTATCAAAAAAGAAATTATAATCAAACGTAGTGTGGGATTGATGTTTTTATTCTTATGCCTATATTGCCTGAGTAATATCAAAATTAACAGGTAATTTTCTACGGTGCCTCGGGGTGGGCATTGACCACCCCTGTCCATTGCTACGAGCCGTCACTGCAAATTATGCATATGAATAAAAGTGAATAACCGTTGTGAATCATGCAGTTCCTCGAAAGCATTCATTCCTATACGTGAAATTTTAGGACCTTGAATTTGAGTTATTTGGCTGTAAGAAACTACAGTGTGATAACCGATAATAGTGTCACATATATATCTAAATGCCTAGTTTTAATTATCCCCAAACAAATTCCAAAAATAAAAAATACGTAATGCAGAAATTCTAAATAAAAATTCACAGTCCATTATTTGTAATGTCTCCCCCGGTTGCAGCTATTAAAAATGACAAGGAGTATGTATAAAAAAACAGTAGTCGCTTATGATGTAGGTTAAATGCGAGTATAGCATACTTTTTAAGATCTCTTCTTGAGACTAAATTAAATCTTATAAATACATATAAATGTTTACCATAATACATATCTTACATTCGACCGTTCGAGCATGTTTGAGTTTTAACTCGTGACGTATGGGCCAAATGCAACATAAACATATCGGTTAATTTCATACCCATAGTAGGAAAACTAATAACATGTTCAATGTTAAAATTACATTTTATTAAACATTGCTTATATCGGACAAATTTTATGTTATATAAAATACAATGAGTCTTATTGATACACTTATAGTAAAGACTACTTCTTATCCGGACGTATAAACCATATTTAGCTTATTTATATCTTGTGTTCGAAATTAATAAAAAAAAAATCGATGCGATTAACCTAATTTTTTTATAGAGCGTTTTCATTTAAAAATAGACCACCCTACCCTGTACAGGGTGTTGCCTTTACCCTTAAACATCACCCTTTCTCTTTGATTTAAAAAAAAGCAATGCAATATGAACTTTTGTGTAATGTTAATCATATCACCCAGTCCCTGAACAGTTTTTGGTTATTCATGAAAATCACTCGTCACCAGATGGCGCTGATAATGTCATTATAAGGGTGAACAACAAACCTTTTTGACTGATAAATAACCTGTTACTTGTCATTCTGTTATACTCCGCCCCATTTTTGACTTGTAAACCAATGGCAGAATAACTCTTATCACTTTTATAGTGATTTTATTTAATAATGTAGATGTCGCCCACTCCGTGATTTTCGCGAATAAGTAGGTACTTACTTCGAAATCAATCTCGACGTGAAAGTATTGACAGTGGAATTTTGATTTGTGGTAAATATGA